AACTATTCCCTGAATGGACGAAAATTCGACCGAGCTTGACTGAAGCCGTCTTCGGTAAGTTGAAGGGGAATCATTCGTTTCACAGGCTCCATAGAACTTGGATGGCTACTGTAAAAAAAAACTCTCTTTGCAGGACTTTCAAATGGCCCGACAGCTCGATGATTCGCTTCCAGTGCGATTGCAGCGCATGTGTAGGAGTTTGCCCCGAGGTAACCGTTGTTGCTGGATTTTTTGGGCTGGGGGTCAGGGAATTCGTGAGTGCCCAAAATAGCCTCAAATTTTGGTCGCGAAACTGCTGATTTCTCTGGGCTCAGCAAATTTGGCTTAATGTGCTTGGAGAAGAGCTGCCCAGAAATAGTGGAGCTTGTAATAACATTTTCCTAAATTGGGCCGATTCTTGATTTCTTGTCTCTAGATGAACTGTGGCCGTCGACGAGAAGCAGCGATGAGGCGCTTCCGCTTCCGACGTGTTCGTGACATCAAAAATGGAACAATTATCGAAGAGCGACCTACCGATTCCGACTACGACGAAGACGAGGAGGAGAACGAACTTCTCAAGAAGGTATGTACAAAAACGGCTTTGAAGCCTAGAAGAGTGATCAGCCGGTGTCCATTCAATCTTCGCTTGATTTAGATTATCGATCCGAAACGATTAGCATTCTCATCGTTGGTGAGAGTCCGTGAAGATGAAGAAGAGGAACGAGCCCAACAGCAAGTTGATCACTGGAGGAACGGTCAGTTCTGATTAGTTTCAATCCTTACTAGGAAGAAAAGCATATTTGCTACTCCTGACTTAGCTTTTCCAAGATCGGTTAATTTTTCTCGATTTTTTCCCTCTTAAATTTGGCTAAAAATTACCTTTGGGGTAGCTTGACCTATGGAATGCGAGGATTGTATCCGTTCGACGAGAAGGCGCCTGGCGCGCGCTATATGTAGGACAATAAAAGGTGTTAAGACACCATGGATCACCGAAATTGTTGGCAACTTCTTCGAAAGGATTTTTGACTAACCATAAGAGGACTGTGAAAGGGTCTAGAATTCGCACTCATGCTCTTGCGCTAAGCGAGTGGGATAAGGGGGGGGGGCGACTGTGGGCCACGGACCCAAAGCCGCCCCTCACCGAATGATGCGATATTCGGTATGTTCTACGATTTAGGTTGACCTCCGAGGCGGACCTGAAGAAGAAGCAAAGGGAAGGTTTTGGGAAAATTCCTCCCCACGTTTGAGAAAAACAAATTCTCGGGTGGAATCTGCGGGCATGTCATTCCATTGAACTACCTTTTACGACCGCTTTAAGATCCAGTCGGTTGGATCATGAGCAGCCCCGGGACAGCCGGTCGTCCTAGACCTCCTTAGCTTACGGCAGGGGCCATTTCACAAGCGGTCATTTCCTCGACGTGATGTTCACCCTACCACGGGGTCAGAGCTTTCAGCACTCAATGAGAAAGTGGAGTGCGTGGCGCACTCCAAAAGAGAAAAATCAACGTCTCACGTTTCATCATTGCTTCCAACACTTGGTTAAAGTTTCAACAATCGATTTTCGAATTTCAGGCGTAGTTTCGGAATCCGATGTGATCAGAGAAGTGGCGGCCCAGGAGGCGGCAGTGTGCGTGCGAACGATTCTCGTCGTTGGTGCGATGGCGGTGACGTGCTTCTGCGTTGCCGTGCTGATCTTCCTCTCCATTCGACGACGAAGATGCAAGACGGAGACGTCCATGCAGGAGAGCGTGTCCACTGTTGGACTATAGACTTTATACTACACACATGTAGAACCTTTCTGAATTCATCACCATCAGCGCTTTAGTTGTGAAGATTTCCCTCCCCAAACACATTCCAGTCTCCCACGTGAGCGCTCTCTCTGTGCCTTTCCCCGGATTATGCCCCGCCGCGTCAATGTTCTTCTCAAGTTTCACACACTGCTATTATATCGTGCTCATTTTTAACTTAGGTGATTTGATATTGTTGTGTTTCTTTGTATTGATATATTGATCTGTTTATCGATTGTTACGAGTTGCCATGCTGTCTTGACCGTACATTCCGACTTCGTTCCACATTCCATGTGTCGCCCACCTTGTGGGAATTTATTTTTCCCTGATTTTTGTGTACTAGTAGTTTTCTATATGAAATCGCTGTGTTTCGATCTACTTCGCCTTCGTTTCACTTGTTTCCGGGTGATTTTCTACACACTGTGACACTCATAAGGCCTTGTGAGCGAAAAGAAATTGTAATAATTAATAAAGTATTTTTATTTTTGAATGGTGAAGACACTTGAAAATTGTAGTCTAAACAAGACTGCTGGGTGTACGCCAGACATTCGACATCCTTTCCATCTCTTGTGGTATGGAAGAGAGAGGTATGAATAGAGTGAGGGAGCTGTCAAATGGTGAGATTTGTGAATTGAGGCGTGCCTTCCTAGTCCAGCTCTTGATCGTTCTGAAGTTGACTAAACGGTTCCAAAGGCATCCATTATACCCTCGGTTGTGAGTGGTGCAGGGATGAGAACGAGAAGCGGTCCAGAACCCCTTCTCTGCCTTTTGGTTTCCGTATTAATGAAACTTTCGTCGATGTTGCCCTCTTCTACGCCAACGCTCCTTCGCTAGGCGGCTAGAGTCAGACGACGAGGGGATGGGCGTGCCTCGGCGCAAGCGGTGCGGGTACGGCCCTGCCCGCTGTGGCATACCCTTTGCTGCGCATCGTCCCGCACACTGAAGCGGTCCGGTTCGCCTTTCGACTTGAGTCACTTCCCCTCCTTCGACCTCCGAATTTGTCGAGGAATCCTCCCTTGCTGGCATATCAGTGTTTTACACATTTTCATAACGACCACATATTGTCCATGGGTCATCATTAGGTACGGTACCGTAGTGAGGTAAGGTTCTACATTTTCGAGTCCTCAACTCCTCGAGTTCAGAGCATAGGCGCTCATAGAATACACATTTGTAATAATAGGTGGATGAAGCACTGAGCACTGATGGATGACTTTCTTGAGGTGCATTTGACTTCTTTTGAGATCCTATCGATATTTGAATGCAGACTTTCCCTAAACAATGGCCGACGAGGGTCAGCTTGTGGGACTGAATGACGTGCCGATCATTTTGAATCAATGTGGCACCAACTCTTTCATGATACCTCTTTCATGAATGAAGGGTTTAGTTGGTCCGAATAGGAAACCGAAGGTCCTACTTGTCCATGTGCGTGTAACACCGTATGCTTTTGCTCTACCTCATCGCTGAACCTAATGGAAGATGGAGCAGTTATTGCATAGCGTTGACAAATGATAAACTGATATGACGAGCAGGATTCGATTAGAATCGGGATCTTGAGCTGAAGCAGGTTTTCAGATGTCAAACACGTCTGGCTAGCTGGTTTTCAGCATGTCTCGAATAAGTCGGCTGCTGCGGGCGGCTTCAATTCTCGTTTCGTACGTTCGCTTATTCGTTCATCCCGAGGATGGCCGTCCGGCTTGGCCTCGTCCGCCTTTCGCTAACGTTCTGCTTAGTCCAATGGCCAGTAAACTTTAATGGGTCTTTGATGTTAGCATACAGTTTAACACCCCAACTTCAATGACGATGTCAGTTGGTAGTCTGTGGACATTTTTTTGTTCCCGTTCGATGTGATGATCTGAGTTAGCCTTCATAATGTTTTAAGATCTGACCTAGTCCAGGTTTAATAGTAGTCATCCATCAGTAGCCGGCCATCCATTACATTGAATAAATGAAACGATAAGCAAATATTACTCTAGCATTGGCTTCCATTTCCTCTAGGCTTTCCTCCACTCTCTCTCTCCAAGATTTACCTTCATTAAGAAATTTTGTAACCAAAGCTTTCAAGCTCGAAATTCTTTGTGCTGGTACTGAGATTGCCTTGGAAGTCAAAAACAGAGGCGCACATATGATTTCAAGGTTGTGTAAGTCTGAAGATGAACACATTTATGGAGCTCTTACGGAAGACACGTGCATGGCGTTTTTCTCCGCTGCCGTTCAAGATCTTTCTAATATAGGTAAAATCTTTTTGTGTCTTCTAAGCAACCTACGCCCACAGCTGTTTTTGGGAACATTCCATTTGTGTGTTTTTGATCTCCAATAACAATTGAACTTATAAAACTTCTGCAGTTTGAGGTACCCCATGATATAGGCTATCTCATGGTAGCTTCCGCAACGATAGGCTTTTTCACTATCGAATTCAAAGGGCAGTTCGGATGTAATTGCTGCAGCCATAAACACCTATGGATTTTCGAATCGGACGGCTTTATCCAGTTCTTTTCGACGTTCGATTGAATCCATTCAGACCCGATTCATCAAATCTCTCTTGACTTTTTCGACCAGCCGATTTCTGTTCCTTTTCCTTCAAGGAGACCCTTCTTTGCTCTTTTCACGAAGAAGGGTAAAATAAGTAATTACTACCGATAATCATTCAATAATTTCATGAATATCAAGGATAAGATACCCATGTTCTGTGTACAAGAAAACGATGCTGGCTGATTTGGAACTAGGAAGTATTCTCAATGAATAACACGACGGTTTTGCTCTATGTAGCTGCAAAAAGTACTACGGTCACCACCGCGATGGATGAAAGAGATAGTTTTGGATAAGAGACCAAAAAGGCGATTCGAAGATGAAGCAGTGCTGAATAATATTTTTCACTAGGAAATGAGTTTATAGTGATATGAAGAGTTCTTCGGAACTTACCTTTATCTAGGAAGCAATATGACCATTGACGAGGTGACTTCACGAGCTCAGTTGCCGTGAATTTGATTGTAATAAGTTTTGTGATGGGCAGACGTCTTCTACTAGGTACACGATCCGAGTATTGAACCTGTCTCACACCCGCGGCTATTCGAACTGAGCGTCTAACAGCTTCGCAGCGGCATTTCTTTGATACCAGATCATAAAGAGTGGATAAAAGTATTGATGTCATTGCATCTGACTATACAGACCGAGTTCGTAGATGATTGTCAGCATGATTGTGAATGGATGTTGAATGATGTATGGCGTGTCCTAAAATGAGCGCTAAATATAGCGCCGAGTAAAAAAGAATTGAAAGTAAAACACATGTCGGAGGTTGTGCTGACTTCAGATGTGACCCTGCTGACCTCTACTCAAAGCGTTTAGATGACAGTTGCGCTCAGAATGATTCAGGAAAGGACAGCCACTGCCAAGCCGGTGCTTTCATTTTGTCGTACCAATCCGGTGGCTATTCGCTGAGCAGGATTGACCTGAAGGGCAGTCATTCCGGGAGGAGCTTAGTTCATTAGACCGCAGACATACTGTACTTCATCCGGTTAGACCTCCACCAAATACGGATGGAAACTTCAGCAATGTGAAAACTGATTGCATGATTGTCGTCAGCATTGGAATTCGGGAACTGGAACTAGATCGGAGAATTGCAATGCTGGCTAACGTGGCTTAATGATAGCGCTGGGATCAGGTTGATAGCCGCGATTTATGGCCGAGATTTTGGAGATTTGCCGTCTAAAATGAGGCAATGGCGCCGCTGTCGGGGCTATCTATAATATCACTCTCTTCCCTTTGCCTTCCCCTGGTCCCTCTACGAACCCCTAAAAATGAGGCTGACGATTTCAATCGTTAACCACCCTACTGTGGAGTATACATTGATCATTTATAAGGGGCCACATCATAAATTGGCTTCCATTTATAAGCAGAATATTGCAATGTATTCGCCTTATACTGAGCCTTCCATTAAATGTCACTCTTGCTGATTACGCTACTGCTTCGATGACAGAACGCTAAGAATTTCGACAGGATGGCGGGATGAATGTGAGGTGTAAAATCCAGGTTTTCGTAGAACGTGTAGGAAGATGTTAGTGGAATTAAGGAGTCCTTTAGGCGGAGTCGTTCTAGATTGAGGAGGAGGAGGGCGAAATGAAAAGGGAGGTCATGGGTCAACGAACTGGAAAAATGGGCAGGAAAGATATAAAGCGTTCGGGCCTGAAATCGCCTCGCCCATATGGCCTACACTGTAGTCAGGCGAAGGACAGTTGAACGTCAACTGTTGAGGTGGATAGGATTAGTATATTGGCTCTGATCGGCCTAGTACCTTAGATCATGGCATATTGCCACACTGAATAAATCGAATGTGAAGAGGGGACTCTAAGGGGGAGGTTACCGAGAGTTGGTTACAGTTTAATCCCGAAACTTTTCCAGCACCAGTGGGTGCGGACACACTACATATTCTGTTTAAGTTAGTGTTGGAGGTTCGTTGCTTTTGTGATTTAATTTTGTGTCATTATCATCGTACCAAAGCGAAGGTGTGGCAGCAGAACATAGTTACGTGGACATTCCGCGATCCATTCCATCTTTTAGCCAACCAAAAGAGCCGGCGGCTGGTCAGGTATGTGGACCGTCAATTTGACTTTTTTGCATATCTTCTAATGTCATTCCATAGTACTGTTTTATACAACTGACTTGATGCTAACCTGGTTATGGGGGGGGGACTCGGGCATCGCACGGCAGCGTCTGCTGCTCTGGTTCGTCTGCTCCTCTAAGCTAGTCAGTTCTATTAGGCTTGGATAACTTTGAACGTGCGGTTTTTGGGATAAGATTATCGTTAAGTATAAAAGCTATACCAAAGTTTCAAACCTAATTTATTTCGTTTATGTGTATCATCCACTCTCCACCTTTTCCTATGCAAGGCAAGGAGGTCTACCTCGTAGAACTCTTCCAGGTACGACTCGAAGAAGTTAGGTACTCAAATTATGAGGTCGTCGCGGTTATCAAATTGGTTTGCTGCT